CCTTTCTGTTAAGGTTTGAGACTAGATATATTAGAAGAATGAAATAAAAATAAATATTTGTTCAGTATTTTCTGATAGCCAGTAAGAAAGCTCCTATAAGAAAAAGGTTAGCATCAGTCTCAACAGAGAAAGGAAGGTGAAAGTTTGTACACTGTTGGGAACTTTGGACTAGAGGTATCATCAGATCAACTGTGTAACGGCTTTTATTTTACATCTGCTGTACAAAAAGTTAAATAAAAAATAAGAATGTGAAGGTAGGTCGTACCCATTTCTCCAGTGTCACCCTCAGGCACCTGTAACACTTCTGGGTCACTGGCAAACACACTGGTTGGGTGAATCACCACTCCTTGCTTATTCCTTGTGTGAAACACCTACACAACATAAGATCACAAAATGGAAGTTTCATTTTTCTCCTTACTTAATTCTTTTCAGTCACCATAGAAATAATCAGATTACTGTATATTCATACGTTATAAAAGGAAATTCAGTGAAGAAGGAAGCCTGACCTGGTCAGAGTCTTTGCGGGTGGAGTTGTGTTCATCGGGCAGTGCCAGCTGAGGGTACAGGCCTCTGCAAAGCAGAAGCTTGAGCAAAGCCTGCTGGTGTGAGGACAGGTCCTGACTGACAGCCTCCTGCAGCTCTGACACATTATGCCGTAACTTGAACTTCACCTCCTATTGCAAACCAAACAGCACCATGGGAAAAAAATATTAATAATAACAAAACTGACTTCAGCTTTTCACCAGAGCCTGCTATACTTGCTGCTTTATTTAAAAGTTGAACTTACTAGTTTGAAAAACAGGAATAGATCATATTTTTAATAAAAACTAGGCAAAACAAAACTTGGAATGGGATGTGATAAAATTAAGAACAAGTTTATAGTGATAATTTTTTCTGTTACACCTTCTAAGATACCTGTATGTCCAAGTTCTGTCCAGACCCCTCCTTGTTCCTCTTAGACCTTCCTGTTTCCTCTGTGTCTGATCCTGAAGAGTCTCCTTCCTGACCCTCCTCCAACCTCAGGACTTTACGTTTGCTTCCCTCCTGCTGTTCATGATCTCTCTTCAGCTGATGCAGCTTTCTCCTCTCAGTTAGCCTCTCCCTGCGTTGCACACGGTCACCACCAGAGGGAGTGCTATCTTCTGATTCCAGCAGGCTGTGGCTCCTCAGCAAGTCCTAATAATGAGAGGGATTTCAATACTCGTTCTCAATCGCTAAAAAGCCTGAAAATGTTTTATGAATGTATGAAATGCTTTGTGAGGAGCCTGCCTTGAACTGTCTGCGTAGGTTCACCATCTCATACAGCCGCTGCTCCTCCAAGCCTCTCCTTCTGCACCATTTTCTTGATCCACCACCTCTCTCCCCTTTTACCTGTTTTCAAAATCAGTTTTGTGTCCAGTGAAGACCATTTTATGACCTAACTGCTCCAGTGTTGATTCTAATAATATTAAACATCCAACACAACATGATGCTTATTTTACTGACCTCCACCCAGGCATTGAAAGTGTTGAGGAGGGTAAAGGGGTCTCCTTGGTTGCTATGCAGGGGCTGCCGGGCAGT